AATACAATCGATTTTTTATCGGTAGGCTCTGCTTACGGTTTTTTACCGGTGCAGTTCTGATTTCCAATATTACTTTTAATGAATCCCAACGAGTTGTTGCAATGTGGTTACTGTACCAGCGTATAAAGCGTCGGAGAATTAAGCGAAAGTTCTGGATTCATTTTTCTCTTTGGACTCCATTTCTTTAAAATCCTCATTCAGTTTGCAGCAAACTTGGCTCCATGCTTCTGTAGTAGCGTTTCTGCCTTTAAATATGTCCAAAGTTTTATCCCATAAAACTGGTCTTGCTTCCACTAACGCAATAAGTATGTCATTATCGATGTTCATCTCTTTAACCATTTTAAACGTATATGCAGTCGTAATCACGACCATTAAATAATAGGTGAGTGTGCAAGCTCCTATTCAAGCACTCTATATTACCGGTACCGGCGCATCACAGTGACAATGTCCGGCTGCTAACCGGCTTTTTTCCGGTGCCGGTCAGTGGCCGGCCAGTGTGCAAGCTTCAATGCCCTCCAATGGTTTACTATTAAAATGTGGTCGGCTGATAATTTACCGGCCGTCCAAAATCGGTGTGTGTGTGTGCAAGTCGTCTATGGCAATATTTTCTAATATAGGGGACGATGGAAGCTTTTTGAACAGCCTGTAAAACAAAAACTGTCGCTATCATTCTGGATATGAGTCAGTAGATGCTATAAAAAGGGGACCGTGTACCACCGCACGATCATACATTATAAACCTGAGCCATTTTCCGTTGAGCTGGCTGCCTGCGCCCACTGCTTGTACACCATGTTCTGCGGGTCGTCGATGCTTCGATGCCATCCGCCTCCTCCTCCATAGCCTCCACCGCCTCCTCCGCCCCCTCCATGACCTGAGTCAGCGTACACCACGTGCTTCTCTTCCCCGCCACCCTTCTCTTGCATCTTCTTGATGATCATGATGATGGAGAGCAGCAGCGCTATCTTGGCGATCATCAATGCCGATCCGGCCATCACCATCATCTTGCCCATCATCATGTTCACAGCGACCGCCGCCATGCCTGCAGCAACCATCATCATGCCCTTGCCGCCTCCTTTGCCGCCTCCGCCGCCGCCGCCACCACCTTTCTTCCGAGCTGGAATGAAGGTCAATTTGTAAAGGGCGCCAATACCGCGGTTCATAAAAGTTTGTATTCGACACAAGTTAGCCCACCTAACAAAGGGGGGCAGGACCTTGGGAATTTATTTTAAGGTGTGACTTCTCCTAGTAATTGTACTTATTTAGGGTCATCCATTAGAATGGTAATACGCAACGCCCAAGCAATCCGGTGGAAAAGACGTTTGAGCATTCAAACTCAGCTTATAACGTACGTTCTAAAAGCTTTGGCACAAAATTCATTGGTTTTAATTTTAACAAACACAAAACAATATCAAGTTGCCATCGGAAACAAAAGTTTGATTAGTTACTTTAGTGTTAGCTGAAAATTATTTATTTTGAAGTTTTTGCTTTCTCCCAAAAAGTGGAAGACCACATAAAGCGAAATATGTAGATAAAGTCCTTATCTGGTGCGTAATTTCTAACAAGGGTGTATCCCAACCTTTTGTGGGAAGGGTGAGGTATGAAGTTTTGAATACTCACAGCTATATTGAGAACCGCCTTTCCAAATTGCTTCAGTTTGTCCTGAAACGTCATGCTTATGACCATATCATGTTTTGGTCAGACCTAGTATCATGCCATTACTCAAGAGATACCCAAAACTGGCTTCGACAACACAACATACCTTTTGTCCCAAAAACGATATTTCGCCAAACTTGCCGCAGGCTCGCTCAATAAAGGACCTTTGGGCTTTACTGTCTAGAAAGGTTTATCATGAAGGCTGGGAAGCCCAAGATGAAGAACAATTAAGACGGCGAATTTACGACAAACTTTCGGTAGTATAATTTAGTTAAGTATTGAGTTGTAATTTATGATAACTAGTTAGTGCTTAAGTAAATTTCTTCACTGAAAAAAAACCGATAAATATTTTGTGCCAAAACTTCCAGGACATACGTTAAACCAGTAAGGTTTTTCCGTTTTTTTGCCGCTGCCTCAACCCTCGTTCCGAGCTGGAATGAGGTTCAACGTATAAAACGTTTCCAATGCACTTCCCACGTAATGCTTTTAACAGCTCATCAAAGGTTGTGTTCGACATAAGTTAGCCTATCTAGGAAGCGGAATTTATTTTGTCTAGTAATTGTACTTCTTTAGGCCATTTACCCACTGGAATGGTAAGGCGCAACGCTCAATCAAGAGTAAAGCCATTACACATAGACTCATCTCAAAACAAATTCCCAAGATCGTATCCTTCCCCTGTAAGAAAAATAAAACTGCGATTCTGTGATATCGTTCGATGTCTACAGCGCTGCAAGTCCTACATTGGTAGATCGAACCCATATACACGTCGCGCCGATTCGTGTTAGCTAAGCAGTGTTCATCAACATTTACCATTATCGTGTTTCAATGAAACATGTTATTTAACGTTGCATGTCCCTTTTTCCAATAACCTGTCTGGAGAAGTATTATCATCTTCCGTCTGATTGTTTCATGATCTGTATAGAGATGAGCGAAAAAAAATTATCAGTTTCCTTTTTATCGAAAGATCCCTTACTTATCCATTTTTTATGTATTTTGACTTCAATCTGATCTTGTTAACAGAAAATAGTACAGATCTAAAACCGTATGTAAATATTCCAGTTTTTTGTTATCACTTTCTCTCTTAAAAAATCTTTGCTTTTCTTGAAAACCCAATTTGCTGCAAAATGAGGTTCCAGGTAAGTAAAAGCAAAAGCGATAAGTATAAAAGCAATCAATCACCCGCTCAATTCCACTATAAAAATGGAATTTTGACAAATAATTTCAGAGCTGTACTAATAAAAAGTTACGGTTGAAGCAAAAGTGGGCAATAAAATGCACAAAAAATGTATTTTTTTGACAAAGAGAATATTGCTAACAGTTCTTTAGACATCTATATATACAGCATGAAATAACCAGATGAAAGCGATTTATGATACTGCTCCAGATGCGACCTCAACACCGTTGACTAATAATATCTGCGACATTGAATACCCATGATGACAGCCATACGTCCTAGCCATTCGACGTATGTATTACAAAATCGAAACCTGGCTAACGGCTGCAGTTACTTCTAGTAGGAGCGTAAAATTATTGGGACTAGTAGTATACAGATATACTATTGTAATTCGAGATACGCCCTCTATTATTTTTTACGACCATAGATCCGCCGCCTGTAAAGATTTTATTCCTTGAAATAGTAGTTACCTTGTATCAAAACCCGAGCGATGCTTTTTTTTAAAAGTGGTCTAGGATTAACGGATAGGCACACAAACAGACATACATAAGCATCGGAAATAGGTAGCATCGCTTGGAGAAACGTTCTATGCCACTACAAATTTTGTTCATGAAAAAAGAACAACATTTTTGATTAAAGGTATCCTGTACTGAAGAAAAACCTGATGATGTTTTGGGAAATACCAATATAGAATATATAGAATTTTTACGATGCATTCAAGACTAAAGGACATTTTCTATCCTTCCTATGCAGCATTGTTCCACCGGCTTATCTGGAGATCATTTTCAAAAAAGCTGTATTAGCTGTTTTCCTTGTTCTCGCTCTACCAGTTCTTTCTCTCATATTAATGTCAGCTTGCTAGTGGATATAAAACCACCCCTGAAATGTCTTACAGCAAGTTATCAGCTGTACTACACAGCTGGTCATCTTAGCTAGTATAAATGGCAACATCGGCCAGTGAAGAGATTCGATTCGTGACCTCACTCCGTATCCCATAATTGACCTAATCGGCCAAATAAGCATCTGGATCGATAACATCATTGAATGAGATATCGCCACCAGGTAACACTGAGCCAGTCTTGCCATTCACACTTCCTGTGATGCCGTATAAAACATTTTGTAACATATTGTATATGTACGGTTATGCTGGATGATATGCTCTTTCCAGGAAACTAGCGAGCTGAACGATATACCAGTATTGAGCAAAAATGGAGGTTGTTCTTGTTATTGAACTGATAACACACCGAGAGTATAAACAAATATTAGGATAAGATTGGTACGAGTAGTTTCGAATGAGTGTGGATCTAAAGCATCCCATTATTTGCTGGAGTTCAGCAATACCACCTTTGTTGTGCTTGATGCAGCCCCACGTCGCAGGTTGAATGTTTTCTTAATATACATGTTCCCTCATGCTGAGCTACTTTGCTAGCTATCATTTCATTGCTGATAAAAGGCTTAAGAATCATAGACATCCAACAATTGTCGTAGCAATGCCAGAATACACATATCATCAGGAACGAGGTAAATCTGTATACATATAAACGTGAACGTCTGTTAAGTCTGTCAGCATCACGTCTCAACCACAGTCCATAGATACGTAAAAAATTGTACAGTACTTATTGATACCCAAGCAAGGTTCTAGGCATGGTTTCATTCCGAGAACTCATCGTCAATTTTGTAATCAACTATCACGGAACGCACCAAAATCTCCACCATTAGTGTCAATCCGGCAACAGCGCGGCCTGTCATTGCCACATTCATTTTGCACTAGCTGTTACTCTCAACTTCGTACATTTGAAACTGTCACTATCATAAAGCGTAGTTTTTAAGTAATGCTATAAACTTCCGATTACGTTGTGTGCCTGATGACATTCTTGAACTGACAGCCAATTTGCATGGTTGCATTTGGTGACATTTATTAACTACGCATTCCGCGTATGAAACCGAGATATAGGAGGCTAGTTGACTATAAATTGGTGCTCATCCCAAGAACACAATACCATATCTTTTATTGTTGTTCAAAATTTTAATACAATATGGATGATTGAGGTGTTGGTTCTCGGACTTTCATTTCCATTTCATCAGTTCACCTGATGACGATTGAAGATCATCGGAAAGACGTGAATGAAAAAACCTTATAGACAATGTGAGTTCACGAATCAATATCTAAAACGGTTTATTTCTGATAATATGGCCCTTTCTTTCGGAGCTCAACTTGAAATCTAAGAGCAGCTGGTCTTACTTTTTCCACGGACACTAGATCCAGTGGCTGGAAAATCAACAGTGCTTGTGGTCCAGCACATTCAAATCAATTTGAGAGTTAAAATATTGCCTTCAAGATAAAAGCTGAGAATATATGTCAGTGGATGTGTGCTTAGGGCAGTGTATGGACCGTTGTTAAAATAATTAGGGATACGACCCATGCGTAGAATCAGGGGCAGCCAAGAAGCGTAGCATAAGTTGTGTGGCTGTGTTTAAAAAGAAATTATGATGTGGGTAAAAAGGTAAACAAAAGCAATGCCGAAATTGTATATCTGGGTTAACGTGCCGCTTATTAAATGAGACTTTAGTATTGGGCGCTTGCAAATGAAAAAGTAGGTGCATCAACAATGCCACAGCATCAGCTATGCCGCGTGAGTTTTTATATTGTAGATATAAATAACGGATATCCACGTGAAACCTACATTTTGTTATCATAATTAGCATGTGATGTCTAAATTGCAGATTTTGGAACACTCGTTTCGTTCTTTTTCTGGTATCCTGTTGTCATTATAGACAGATAAGTAGTAGCATTAAAGTTAATCCTAGTCCTAGTGATAACCTTAGATTGCCTTACCTAGAGCGCTCACGACTCGTTTTCAGTTGGCGTGTTAAACCAATAAACTAAAAAGATCTGTATTATTTCAATAATTTTGTGAACATTCTCCTTTGTCTATGATTTTGGCACCACGAAGGTATCAAACGTAGATGAGACTTTCAGCAGAGAAGCTAGAGGTATCCTGTTGATCCAGGTTTTGAAAAGCTGAAGGTAAGACAGTTTGGTATACTGGGTATGTTCTGAAGATGAATCCCTGACGGTTGCGGACTGTTAAAAGAACTTGAGCGACGTTTTTCGTTTGGTCAACTGAATTTGAACATGGCTATTATTCAACTCTCTGGATTCTCCCGCAGTTCTGATAGACTTTGATTGAGTTTGAAAGCCAAGAACTTTTTCAGAGATAATTCAAGTATGGTACGGTAACGACAACTTGTCAGGTTGCAGCCGCAGCTGTTGCGTTCAGTACTTA